GCCCTAACCAATAATGTGATTTTGCATGCTCGTGCAATGCAGGTGCTGAAATAATATGTGCTGTGGCCTGCTTAAACATTTCCCTAGCCTCTTAGAATTAAGGAGACGTTGAGCTAAGTGTATTAAGTAGTTGAATTAAGCTTCGCCGTGTGAGTACGAGTTAATGTTAGTGGAATGTAATTGTTACCGGCGGGATCGAAAGCAAACAGTGATACCGAAATTTATTTATGATATTTTGAATATGAACAGTTATTTATATTTAACGTAATTTGTGAAATATCCCTAATGAGAGCCTTTGTCTCAGAAGTTGAAACGGTAAATAGAAATTTTTTTTCGTCTCTAAAAACACGGTCTTGCGAGTGGTGGAAAGTTACAGTTAAATTAATTACCTTGTTTGTTTCCTGTGTAATTGTTTAACAGATGGATATCTTTCGAGAGGACTATCAAAGTTGTGAAATAGTAAACGATTAAATATTTTAAGATGTACTGTCTATAAGACCATGTTAAATTTTTTAAGGTTCTTTCGCCGAAGCTTATACGACAGCTGCAGCGGCATATGCCAGCGTTTTACAACAAGGCAAAATAAATGCTGCCGGTATTGACTGTGGCGAGAAAGCTCGGGATGACTTCATTACTGCCTTAAACAATTGTGACGGTAGTGCAGAGTGTATCGAAACGTTGAAGAATACGTTGTCAAATGACTTTTCACAATGCTTTGTGAAACTTAGTGATCACGACTCGGAAAAACTGAAGAGCTGTTTGGCGCAGCTGGATGACGTACGCAAGCAGTTTTCGTCGCTCGTGCAAAGCAGTTTGGAACAGTTGCTTGCGTCGGCAGTCAGACCTCGCCTGAAATCGACCATCGACTTGTTCCTCGATGAAACGCACACGCCGAGCGAAGCCGAGTTTGCTGAAATGGAAGCGTCTGATGTTTTCGTACAGCAGTTGGTTACTGTCCTAGACTCGGTATTGAACGTATTCAAGGCATTCCTTAATCAATCGGTATATAACTCGTTCCTTGAAATTGTCGCTGGTAGTGTAGCCGTTGATTTGGAGAAAGTGATTCTGAATGCGACATACAACCGCCTTGGCGGATTGGTACTCGACAAGCAAATTCGTGGCCTAAGTGCTTACTGGACAACCGTTGCCAGTTGGTGCCTTCGGGAGAAATTTTCCAGGCTCAGTCAGGTCGTATCGTTGTTAAATGTGGAATCGGTTGTTGACGCTGAAGGTTTCTATAAATCCACTTCTCTTGCCTGGTTGTTAAGTCCTACAGAAATTAAGCAGGTTCTGGCGTTAAGGGTAGATCTTCCTGGAAATGACATTAGGCAACTTGTGCTGTAATTAGCGCGTCTTTTCGGTTGCCATACAACATCCTATTATTGTTAGCGAAAAGAAGTTCTGAATCAATTCCTTATTCGTTTTTGTTCAAATCTCTCGCTGCATTCGATTTATCGTTTTCTGATTTTCCTTTCATTGTTTTTGTCAGTGAAGTTTTCTATTTTTTTCAATTTGAGATGTTGCTGGTCTTGGTCTTTAACAGATCTGTGCGTATGTTTAAACCGCAAGGCGCATTAGCTCAGAAATGTATGTTGTGCATAATACTTATCGCTTATATTATCTGCGTTATATGCCTCCTGTTTATGAAATAATTTGATCCTGCCCATCAAAACTTATGGCAGTAATTGGAGGATCTATTCTGTTTAATTTCTTTGCCATTGATCAGGTCAGTTGCGATGAGTTTTTATCCTTTCGTCTCGGAGTGGCCAATACGCAATGTCCGCAACGTTACTAACTCTGTCACCGTTTGAGCTTCAGCAGAAGATAACATGAGTCTAGAGCAGAGTCAGTAGAGACATTTTTCCCTAGGCCATTACTGACCATCCTTCGGATCTGTCTGTTTCTTAACTTCTTAAAAAATATGAAGAAATAACCTTTCAGTATTTGCAATAAATGAGAGAAGGCTGAGATCCTGCATAATATGTATAATGGTACTTATTTCATTTTAAATAGTTATATATAAAATTCAATGGTCAAAATGCCATGGGGTTCACGTCCACAAGTTGTTTACGTAATCTTCTTATGAATGTTTATGCTCATATTACCACGGGTAAATAACTCCGTCATTATAGAACACGCGCTTTAGACCAGAAACGTTCATTTTGCATCTTCATATTTTAGGCGGTCACGAAGGATTGAGTATATCGATGAAGCATTACTTGCAAGAGGGCAAATGGAAATGTTACAAGAAATAATTAATCTGACCGTAACTGAGCTTAACGTTAAGCTTCTAAGTAGTCGCATGAAGTCAGATGTCCCGAACTATTACTGACTGTTATTATCTGAAGAATGAATAATTATCTATTATCATCTATTATATCTATTATCATCTGATGAATGAATAATTTGTTCATGCGTTGATATTCGTACTGAAAACTAAAAAAATCACAAAAAAGTTCATTCATAAACAACGCAAATGAAATAGTTGATCAGACGGATGACTGACCAGTATCGACGTTTCGGCTTGTCTCAAGTGCCTTCTTCAAGATGGTCTGTATTGGTTTATTCAGTCGGTTGTTTGGTTAGCAGCAGTTGTGGCGTTTGAAGATGAAGGTATACTCTGCTCGCGCTGTTCGCTAAGTAGGTCACAGGCTTGATAAGACCTGACCAATCAGCATAGAGATCGTATATTTTGTCTCGGTTAGCATTTTGCAGGATTAGATAATTAAGGCTGATTCGTCTGCTTAACCAATGTCCCCATAATCTAAAAATTGGAAACGGCCTTTTTCTGTTGCGTGTTGCATAATTCCTGGGGCCTGTAACATTGTTCTTTGACTTTGTTGCAAAAAAGGGTTGTGTTCTTCCTCGTTTCGCATGACGTGCAACCTTTGGTGCGTATGACGAATACAAGACAGTATGGAATGTCCAAATAACTTGTAGCAAATGTATGCAATTAAATCTGCTGATTACTAAGAATATCTAGTATCCTC